CTAGCACATTTCTAAATAGAACACCTAACTTTGACATCGCATTAAAGAAGTTACAGAGAGGTTAGAAGAAAATCCCCTATAGGGGCGATAGAAGGGATGTTCCTCTTTAACACCCTGCTCGCGGTTTTTCTGGAAGTGCCCTAAAATTCGAGAACTTAATGATTAAGGGTATTTTGGTCATTCTTTTAAATGTGAACGTTGTGATTTTGGTCATCTGTTTTGCTCATGCGGGAGCTGTGGTTATGAAGCCGATTTTGTGTAATTGTTGCAGTTATTCACATTAAAGCCGGATCCGGCTTTATAGTTCCGTAGCCGTAAGAACGGAACCGTAAAATCTGACGTTAACGAAAATTATGCGATTTATAGTTACCGTAGTGGTAAGAGATGAGCTTGCGTATTTATCTGCCATTGTATGTCATCTGTCAGTAAGAGTAACGTGCATTTCAAAATAATAATAACCAACAAAGTGTCAATAATTACTGTAAATAAACGAAACGAACGTCCGGATAAACTCAACTGTTTGAATTATCCGAGTACTATCGAAGACAGGCGCGTTAGCGCGATTTACCGTAAGGAATAAGATTTGGGCATTTCCTACGTACCGTAACCGTTCTAACGCAACGTAAACGGGAACTATAAATGTTCACGCGCAACAAGTAATTCCAAACGTTACGGTACGGTGCGGTGTTGCGGGTACGGAACTATAAATTCAGCTTAAATCACATGACAGCCGACAGGTTTGGTAATTTATTTTCGGCGAAGTCTTCAGATTAAATAGTATATTAAACCACGATTACTAATTTATTCATTTCATAATTTTTCGTTTTGGTTATAAGTTTTTGTGGTCCTGTGTATTGTACCTGTTAACGGTAATTTCTATGTGTCAGCCACTTCCAACCAAATTCAAGTCCACGGCTTAGTAGCCACTGTTATGGAGGTGGTTAGAAGGCCTATTGGTGTAATATATTTATGAGGCATTTACAAAAATTGGAGCTGTAGATCCCGGTATATATACCGTAGCGTTCGAAAATGTGATAGGTAATTATTTTACAGTGTTCTTTTATTACCATATGTACCGATCACATTAACGAAATGGATCACTAATTGGAGTGTATTCATCTGGTTGGTCCACGCGCGCCACTAAAAAAAGGTGCAAGAGTTGTAACCTCACTTTGCAATCTTTTTGGCTTTCCTTCAATAATTATCAAGAGGACTTCCGTTGTGTACATTTTTTGTTATATTCGAAACCTTAGATCTTACGAAACACTTTCATGGTAGTAAGTATATGCTAATGTAGCCTTGTAGGTATATGCTGTTTATCTCAGAGTAAGAAATAAAGATAGCGATGCCTTGATGCTTATCAAAACGCGCCATAATCTCGTCGTGTTTGTAAATATTGCAGGAAGCGAACTTGTCACATTTCGCGAAACCATTTTTTAATTAATATTAATAATAGATATATAGAAAGGATCTAAATGGATTTTTAAATATTTATAAAGGTGGTGAAAAACAAACTATTATAAGTTGAAATTAAACGGCCTAATAAGAAAATTTAAGATAATTAGTGTGTCACGACGGCAACGCTGTAGCGATTTGACAGATGAAACTATATCTGTTTATTTCTAAAAATCGTAATTTTCGGCATTTTTAGTTCATTTTATAGATTGAAACTTATTCCATTGTGTTTAATAATTTATCAGCACCCTTTGACATGGGGAAGGGTGTTCTGTTTGTGGAACTATCTTTGTTTCCTACTCTATATGTTTATAAATTTATGCGCTACATTTACACATGACAAAAGCATTGTTCTATAAACAGGCATGCACCAAAGTTACCGCATCTCATCAGTCATCATCAAATGTTTACCGACATTTTCCATCGTGGATCTACCGCTCCAGTTTTCGTAAATGCCCAATAGGTATTATGCTGTCGGTGCCCATATTACAGTGACTCTATAAAGACAGTGTGGCCATATGCTCATTTCCGCCATTTTTCCCAAATTTATTATTGAGCTTATGGGAGAATCGCACATTTTGAGTGTAGGAATGTTGCGATTTACGCAAATCCTTCTTTTGAGAATTTTTTTTCGGGAGGTTTTTAGGGGTATTAGCAGATCAAATTACCGAATGGCTTGGGTTGTTCAATAAATAGGATTTGACATGTGTGTTCATGGTCTTTGTCTTGTAACCGGCTGAAGTGTAAAGTACGGCTTGTCTTGAAATATTTTGTTATACCTTAACTGTGTCCTTTTGCTTTTTTGTATCAGGTGAGGTATTTGCTTTATTCAATTAATCTATAAATGTGCATAACTTGAATGTAGATTGTAACTCTTTACTTATGTACTTACTGGATTCAATCACTTGTACCTCTTAATGTGTAACCTTTGTTGGTATTGGCAGTCATGTTTCATTGTCGGTAGGGCTGTATCTGTGCTGTACATACTTGCATGTGTACATATTTGCGTATTGTGCTTTTTAGTCACTCTCGATTATTTCATTGCATTTCATTATATTTGCTTATTTGTGACTGGAGTAATCAAGAGGGAAGTGTGCTTGTTTAGAGGGGATCGAGTTATTCAAGTTTATACGGGCCTTGGTGAACCTAACACTAACATTTTCACTCGTTCCGAACCCAACAACTTTAGCCCATGTCTACAGGGCCTGGGTAATCCTCCCGGCCGTCGAGGTATATTTAACACTTCTTAGTTTTGCCTGATGATGTGTTGTAATACCTGGAGAATGTCTCGATTCCATTTTGGTTACTCATAGCGTGTTTGTAGTATTTACCCCGGTTTCGAGGGGGCTCAAAAGTGCTGTACATTAGATGTTTATTATAGGACTACTCCGAATTAGGTTTTCCTGTAGTTTTCCAATTCGTAAGGTAAATGCCGGAGTAGTATAGAACCACCTAATACCCTCTGCAGGGGCGCCGCTAAAAACCATTATGCGGGTCACTCTGTAATCGTATTGGTATTAGATTCAATATAAACTTAATCAGCTATTTATTTTTACTTTTGGTGTTCCTTATCCATAAAACACCCTCAGTGCCTGCTGAGAACCCAGTTATATTACACAACGTAGGTGTCCTACATGACGATCACGATCTTAGTGCACTCGGAGTGGCCCCCGAGTGACAGATTCTCGCGGGAAACTTAAGCGAGAATATTCAAATAGGCAGCCATGTTAGTTTGGCATTCCCTCACTACAGAATATGGTCAAATATTCCGGTGTGTTTTGAAGTTGGCGTTAGCCCGCCAAGATCGGGTTCATAACCACAGCTCCCGCATGCGCAATAAAAATTACAGAAAGCACAAAGTTCACATTTAAAAGAATTTTTGTATACGTTCATTGTAAACGCACACGTACATACAGATAGATATAAGGTTTTAAGTAGGTAATAGATCCACTGTCAATAACCACCTCCATAACAGTAACTACTACGCCGTGCACGTGCACTTACATGCAATGCAAATAGCAGTTGTCTACCGTTATAGGTACAATATACAGGATCACAATAACATAACCAAAAAGAGAGATTCTTATGGAATGAAAAAAGCAGTGATCGTGGTTTCCTATATTATAGTCTGGGACTTCACCGAAAATTATAAACAAACATTTTCAAGTGAATGACATCAATCATCACGCAAAATCGGCTTCATAACCACAACTCACGCATGCACAGCAAAAATTACCTAAATCACAACGTTCACATTTAAAAGAATGAACAAACACACTCATAAGTTCTCGAATGATAGGGCACTTCCAGAAAAACTGCGAGCAGGGTGTTAAAGGAGGAACATCCCTTCTATCACCCCTACAGGGGGTTTTCTTCCAACCTCTCTGTAACTTCTTTAATGCGATGTCAAAATTAGGTGTTCTATTTACAAGTACGTGCAAGGTCAAATTTAAAAATTAATTTCTCAAATTCTGGGGCACTTCTAGAAAAACTGTAACATGGGTTTTAAAGGGGAACATCCCTTCTATCACCCCTATAGGGGGTTTTCTTCCAACCTCTCTGTAACTTCTTTAATGCGATGTCAAAGTTAGGTGTTCTATTTAGAAGTATGTGCGTGGTCAACTTTAAAAATTTATTTCTCAAATTCTGGAGCATTTCTAGAAAAACTTTAACAGGGGTTTTTAACCCTGCAGTGGTGACGTGAAATTTTGGAACACCAGTGGTGACCTCGGTCTGAGAGACCGAATTTGATTTTGGCTTGATTTCGTATAGTTACTACGCATGTAACTTGGCTTAAAATAAAGGAAAAAGTACAGTCAATAAATAAAGGCATATAAATCGAAAAATAAATTTTATTCTTGTAACATAACCAGTAGCGGTCCCAGGATTTGGTAAAGGGAGGGGCTCAAACCCGAACTTTGCCCCAACATGGAAAAAAATGAAAGAAATCTAATGAAAAAAATGAATGAGGGGGCCCGTGGCCCCCCCCTGGGACCGCCACTGACAGTAGCGGTCCCAGGATTTGGTAAAGGGAGGGGCCCAAACCCGAACTTTGTCCCAACACGGAAAAGAATAAATCTGATGAAAAAAATGAACAATAGGGGGGGGAGCCGGGCCCCCTGGGACCGCCACTGAACATAACTAAATTGAATTATACACAATACTAAGCTTATGGGGGGATGCGCGTTGCAATGCTGCGCTGACTAGAATTTTCGTAGCATCAATGCACCGGAAAGCGGCCAATTACTCACGGCACTAAATTGTCAAAGAACGGCTTGCTTCATCAAGTTGTTCGTCTGGTCTCAGACACGCAAAATATTAAGCTAGCAGAACTAGCAGTGCCATGCGCTGCATCGTTTTTATAAAAATTTGAAAAATACTTTTCGTCGGTCTGAGAGACCGTGCGTCACCACTGAAGGGTTAAGAGGAACTACGCTTCTATCATCCCTGCGAGGACTTCTCTTTCAATCTGCCTTTTGGTATGTAGGGAAGTTACATTTCTCGGTGTGTGGTTCACTTTTGAAATAAACGCTTCCAGATGACGAATAGGATAATCATTTAATTATCAGGATACAAATTTTTTTTGACAATCTTTGTGTAACTTTGTTAGCGACGTCATCGTTTACATACTACGGTGCACCCATCAAACAGAACGAGATACGTGTCTAACAATGTCTCACGTGCTCGTGTTTCTACACAGGTACATGTATTAGCATCTTGTAAATATACAAATCTCTCATTCAATGGAGATTACATATTTAACTTATCGTGTTAGTAGATATATCACGATTGAACTCGACACAATTTCCATTACGAAGGAGCATCAACTTGTCGATGTGCTTGTTCCTTACAAGAGTCGTAGAACATGAGCTTCGTTCCATTAACGGTTTATCTCTGGACTCTTTATCCATTATTAATTCCCACGAACCTGTAACTGTTCACTCAATTTGCATTACAGGTAAGAATAAGTGAAATTTGAGATTACCTATTTTTATAGCGACAGCGTACACCTCCAATTTATTGTTAAGGGGACCCGGCGCCTCTTGCACATCTTTCGATTTCCATCGGCCTTTTTCTTGCTTTATATTAAACAATATTGCGCAGCAGGTGCAAATCCTACATTCATTGTTTACTGTTATCATAAAAGGAATCGTAAAATTGGACTTACCGAATATGTACGTAAAAACTGTAAAGGTCACGTGTGACCGACAGAAAATAACCCAATAAATCCCTTGCCTTCTCAAAATTGATGAACGTATTAATTAATCCATTTACACGTTCGATGTAAGTAACAATCAATAACAGCTGTTTTGTTTTTGCGCAACCGCAAATAAAACGTACCTAAGACCTACGGCTACTTTCCTTCTCTAACGTAACTGCGCATTTGCATGCAGAGTAATTTTCATTCATACCATTTCCATTTGATACATTAAATTTGTGTCTCATTCTTATGCGATACATTTTATGCAGACCGAATTTCCATTGTATCATGTATGTATAAGCACATTTAAAATGCAATGTATTTTAATGCGGTGTATCGCATAGAAATGATTCACAAAATAATTCGACGTTCATTTGAATTAAAAGATGCACTATTAAATACATTGGAATTCAATGCTACATCTTAAACTTCGATTTAATTTTTATGCCATACCTTACGAATAATTTTATTTCCATTGGTAATGTCGCAACGGGTATCTATTTTAATCCCATACGTGAATAACGTTTGTTCTTTAAAGTGCATATATACGAATTTCAATGCATGCGATTTAATTTGATATACGCATGAGAATGGTTTACATTTTTTTTTGGATGCAAACATACTCGACTCAATTTTATTTAATATCAATTCAATTACACACAGCAGCAAATGTATTTCACTTCTGGTATAGCTGGACAGTTCCAAATAAATGCGTTATGTGTTTAAATCTTTTATACAAATTGCTATTTATTTTGATGCATGACAATTAAATTGGCAATGTTTAATATTCATCTCTGTCATCTTGTAGTGTTTTAGGATTCAAACGCTAAAATCCATATTAACATTTCCTACATTTGCATACATTTGGCTAACATTTTTTTGACATGTTTAATTTGTTGGTAACAATTCAATTGTTATTTAAATATTTTGGTATACGTTATAAATGTATAATAAATAGTAAAACGCATCTTGTACACACCAGCATTTAAATAGGTTTGTGATGTAGATGATCGCAAAGAAAAAGCATTCAAAATAAACCTATCGCATTTTAAATGCAATTTATAGTATTTACAGGCATTAAAAACTGAAGTGGTGCTACGGGATTCGTCATATAAACGTCGTTATTTTGTGACATGTTACAAAGGAAACTATTTAAATTACTATCGTACTCCAAGAAAATGTGGATTTTAATTTAACAAAACCATTTTATTACAATGGCATATAAACGTAACCAATTAAAATGCTATACTTAAAATGCAGTTAATAAATAGTAAATTGGCGTTCCATAAAAATTTACATAGATATCCAGGACCTTGAGAAGATGCAGTAAAAGAAATTTTCAGAAGAGTTGCTAATAATACCGACAAATTTTGCGTATAGATCAGTGGCGTAGCCAGGAACTTGGTTTGGGAGGGGCGGATGTGCGTACGTTGTCGAAGGCGGTGATAAAAAATCAGCTACCTACGTACGATTCAGTTCCATTTCGCAAAAATTGATTTAATTGTACACAAATATGACATGTCCGGGTGGGGCTATAGCCCCAATAGCCCCCCCTGGCTACTCCCCTGGTATAGAACAAAGTATGTGAACAATGTCAGAAGTTACAGTAGAAGAGATTATGACAAAAATTGGGTCCCAAACAAGCGGCGCAGCATCTGGTCACTTTTCTTTTGATTTTCACATCGTACATATTTTAGACTCGATTTTAGAGCATTGCTGACAATTTATCTGATTAATCAAGGGGGATTTGAGAAACTATATTAAAATGTCAGAAGTCAATAAAGAAGAATTCATAATATTAATTAATCTATTGTAACGTTTGCAACATTCTGCGCGACTTTTATTATGTTTAAACAAAGCATATACGTTTAAATATAAGTGAAATCTAATGTGTTACTTTTTGAATTTTCGAAAAAAAGTACGAAATAGTCGAATAGGCAATGTTTTATGAAGCTGTATTCTCTTTGAAATGACTGAGCTCACTGTGTACTATCCAAGGTGCTATCATTGAATAATAAATCTTTATTATTCAATGGTACTATTTGAAAAGAGAAACCAGTAGAGGGGGAAGCACATTTCCGTAGGAGATCGAAACTGATCGAAACCCGTTGATGGTCTGTGATCCTAACGGTAGTTTGCCTACACCGTTGCAGATTAGTTTTTAGCTCGGTTTTTAGATATAATTTGTTAAATGTGCTCTAAGCTGACATTTTAATTACTAAAAGTTTCTAAATACATCGTAGAATGTTTTTAATCCTCGGATTTTTGTAAAGATAATCTTTTCATGTTTGTGTACATTTGTTGTTTTTAAATTTTCTCAATTTTTCAAAATATCTCGAAAAATTTTGAAATTTTAATTTTTTTAATTTTTCTGACTATCTAATGTTGATAAACTTATGTTTTATTTGAATTTTACACTTTCATTTTTCGGAATTTTCTCGATTTTCGCAATTTTCAATTTTTAAAATATTTGTTAATTTTTACAATTTGATATATGCATTTGTTATATATAATCCGATCTTTCCATTATTTTTTAATTAACCTAAGTCCGGTATTAGACCATAAAAGATATTTGACAAAGATCTTTTATAAAAAAAACTGAAAGAATTGATCTGAATTCCGTCCAGAGACATTCGAAGAAATTTGCGCCTGTTAGAGGAGAATGGGCCACTTACAAAATTCGATAGTATAGTACCTATTGAGTTGTAACTTATACAACCAGTTCTTCATTTAAAAAATTCTCAGATTTCGCAATCCTTGCAACCATCGGAGACATTGGAAGTGATAACGTATAAAGCCATAAATAACCCTTATTCACACGGAATAATCTTGCTCCACTCGCTCGCAAGCTCGCTCGTGTCACAAACGTAAACTTTCTGAATAATAAGCGGCGTAACATGCTTATAATACTATCACGGGCGATATACGAGAATTTTAAATTCGAATTAACAAAACCCATGCGCATTGTTAAATAAGTAGGTACCAGTATCCGCGACTTTTCCTGAATCTACCGATTGCAGTCGAGTACGGTACAATCAACATGAGACGCGACACCACTTGTCTTCTTTTCTACTGGGCAAACCTGGTAAATTCATACCCATACAAAACATAAGCATTTCCAATGCTAAAAATCCGTTGCAAATGTGAAATGTCGTACTCAGTGTAAAAATTACGTCTGAATTTATGTTACTTTTATCCCATTATGTTTTGCCGTCCAATCCGTAGTATCAATGAACATACACTTCAATGTAGTGTTAAAAATCGAATCGATACAAAAATACCAATGGCATTCGTGTAAAACTTGTTTGCACTAAAAACGGGACGGTGGGTCACCAATCCTACTATAGCGCGGACGCAGTTATGTGGCTGCATTCGTGTCATAGCTCAAAAACATTTTACTGTTTTTCCGAATTTTTTGTATGTGATGTACGTCAACAGTAGTGAAAACCCCGAGGAAAACCCACTAAAATTAGATCCAAACGTTGCCAAAATTCAGCAAGTGAAAAGTGTAATCGTAAACGATTTACGTAAGCGCATTTCAATCACGTATTATTTCGTATTTACTTGCATATTTTATTGACAATTCAAGTAAATTTTATTGCCAAAATTTAACTTTTAGACATCAAGCTGATGGAACTGTTTTGTTTAGCGTTTTTTGTTGCGTGTCGCTTTCAAAGAAAATTTGATGTTGTAAATATGTAAATCGCCATCGTACTAGCCTTAAACGTATCATATGTCTATGATCGTGCAACAAGAAAGTGTATAGATATTGATAAAAATATGGATCTTAATAATGTATTATATACAGAGTGTAGCATCTAGACCCCTCGGTTCATAATTCCTTTACCATAAAAGATACCGAAAATTAGAGCAAATAAATTCGTGTAAATAAACAATTTGTTCAATGTGAGACGGGCAAAATACATAAAATGTGGGGGTTATAGAATTTTAGTTGTTGTTGACTGAACACCGTTTGATAACTGAGCGATGCTTCGAACCGTTATCCACCTCCACTATAAATGTGTAAGTATTGATTGATTGATTCACCACTTTCAACTTATCCACACAACAATACGTCATGACGAATAGTAACGAACGAGGTAACGAATAGAATGATACGAACAGAAAAATCGAATAGAACAAGATGAACAACACCATTCGGTATAGTGTGGCCGCGCCTTTAGAGTTTGATACCTATATGACCTATGCAGCAGTTGATTAAGGCATCTTACCATAACAGACCGACAAAGCACTAGCGCATTGGTTTTTTTCTAATTTTTTTGAAATGCGCTGAAAAGAAAAAGTTCCCGTAAATTTGGGTTGGTGAGTTTCAGATATAGTTAGGCGAGGATTGTTGCTATCATTTGATTCATATACTAATGGCAATGACCACGAAAAAGATTTTGGAAAGTTCCAACCGAGGTTCCAACTAACAGATAAAAGCGACGATAAAAGACAGGACTATATTCACCGAGTTATTTCTAATTTGCAAAATTATTTGAAAAATAGGAATTGGGACCTTGAAAGATGAATGAATGTCTCCTATTCCTGCTCGAAATTTTAATATTTGGTATTACAATGCACAATGTAAATTCCAGTAATAATTAGCATTCGGAATTGATTGAATTATTTTGTTACTTCTCACATCCTTCAAATATTGTGTGTAATTGCCGTAATCACTTAGCGGTGACGCGGTCTAATTAACATAACCTCTTTGTGAATTTAATATAAACGAATATATTATATACAACAGTAAAATACTTGATTCATTCGGAGGGTAATTAGAAATGAAAAAATTTATGAGATAATGGTGTTTAACTATCCATGTAGTCAAGGTTTGATAGTAATTCTAATTGTAGTTCAATAATAATTAGATGCCAATCTAGAACGATGGGCGATAACCGAGGCGATAACAATATGAATTATTGGCGGGACCAGTACCATCATTTCATTATAAAGTACCTACCGGCACTGTTCGCAAAAGGGCACAGACCTCGAGCAGGGAAACATAATAAACTCTATTGTGCTTTATTCTTAATGTATTTCAAATGATTTGCATCCAGCAA